CGCCAAACTTCCTCGACGTTTGTTGGTTTGTTCATTTCTTTAACAGCCTTTTCCTTTTCAGGATCAATCTTTAAACCATCACTTGTAATTAGATGTCCCAAAAATGTAATTTCTTTCATTTTAATCTCAGCTTTTTCTTTGTTCAGAGTTTAATTCCAACAGAACGACATCTCTCAAATAATGCTGTAATTAGCTTTTGAAGCTTCTCTTGGCTGCATAGTCTATTCTAGGTTCTCAACTCTTTCTCTTTTGTTTTGCTTAGTGTGCTCTACTAGCTCCTTCAACTTATTCTTTTCTGCTTTGTCTACATAACCTACTTGCTCTAGCATCTCTACATTCTTTTGTTGTTTGTATTGTCATTGAAATAGTTCATTTTTAAAACACTTTTTCAGAGGACTCTTCTACAGAGCAGGCTTACACATTAGGTAGAGTATTGAACAAATCTCCTAACCTTTAGATCATTATACTAACTATTGATAAAATAGACACACTAAATTCAATGATTACTATTGTTTTTACTTGGATTGAAAGTTATATTGTAGATTAGTGAACTCATTCATTTATTGATATGGGTTGATAGACATTATAAATTGTACATCTCAATCTGTGCTCTAAAGAACCTGATTGTGGGGTTTAGCTGAGGATCCAGTTGAAGCCTAGGTTCAATTTTTAGCCCAAATGTGGACCTAAGAATCATTTTGAGAATAAAGGGTTTTAGTAATTTCATAGTAGTCATAAAATCTTGGTAATATAGTCTATTGAATTGAGTGTTCTTTACTTCTTTTTTTCTATGATCATTTTACTTTAAAATTTGTTAAGAAAGCTCATTTTAATTTATAAGCTTATGTGATAAATCTTTAACTTAACTCTGCTTTTATAAAAAGAGCATTTAACATGTTATTTTGTTTCTGAAATTATGCTTACATTTAGGTGAGATTTTACCAGCCAGAGATGATTATGAGTTTTTCACTGGCATACTAAGACCTGAATCTCTGGCTCGTATTGTCTGTGGCATGCTAAACACTGGTAAGTTTGGATATTATAAATATGTTATCTAACACTTTTTTTTATTAGCTACCTCAATAGGGAAAAGATGTTATCATGATCACATCTTAAAATCTGTAATTTAAATTTTACAAAAAGCATCTACTTGATTGAGATAGGAGCAAAGGCTTCTTTTGGTTCTCTTAAAGCATGTTTCGCTTTTAAAATCAATATGCATGTTTTGTATGCATAAATACAAATCCTTTAAAAAATAAAAATTATTATTCTATATATTAACTGCATAATTCTTTATATGGTTCATGAAATGTGCTTTAAGTATCTTCAATGATGCATCAGATTTTTATGGTCATTCAAAAGCATGCTCTTTTGTTTTTAAATCGTCATGTAATTTGGATACACATGTAAAAACAATTTAAAAATAAAGATTCAATCAATATTGTAAAAATTGTAATCAATAGATGTATGGTGTATGTAAATGATCAGCGACTGTTAATGTGTGCGTATGACTGACTCACATGTTAGGATTTTGGTTAACTTAGATTTGAGTGTTTCACAATAAATACCAGCACATCTTATATGAGAGTCTGATTAGAAGAGCTATTTCAGTTCCTATACATTCAGCATTTCCTTGTTTAACCTGACCAAAAAAAGATTGTACTATTAATAGAATCAATTTGTAGTTAAATTTTACCAAATTGCTTTAGTTTAGGAACAAAAGTCAGGTTATTTGCACAGGATTGCATAATTTATAGGACTCTGAAAACAACACAAGATACTGACATTTTACAAATAGAATTAGATGAATTAAAGAAATGGAAGTCAGATTGGAGCATGTCTTTCCACCCTAAAAAGGTCAATTGTTAAGAGTAAAAAAAAAATTAAATAAATACTGCATATCTTATTCATAGTTACAAAGACTAAAAATGCAAAATATCTAGATGTTATAAAAAAAAAATTGTCATGAAATCACCATATTGATAAAATTATTAAAAAATCAAACAAAGCATTAGTGTTTAGTAAAAGAAATTTTTACAAATCAAACAAGAACATAAAACTAAAATTTTATTTTACCTAGGTTAGGAATATTAGAATATGCATACTCTGTTTGGGACCCCTCAACTCAAGAAAACATTAAGAAACAAAAACTAATTCAAATAGAGCATTGAGATTTATAACAAAAAAATATTCAAATTTGATTAGAGTAACACCATTAGTAAAATCACTAAATTTTAGTGAGCCTTCGGGATAGAAGACTAAAAAATAAAGTAGCATTACTACAAAAAAACACTGAACTATTATCTACAAATTCAAAAATAAAACCTAATAATATACTCAGAAAGACACAAAGATAAAGCATATTTCGTATTACATATGCTAAGACTTGCCAGTGCTTAAGTCACTGATTAACATGCATGACTAGACTGACACTTAAGATTAGATAATTATGTAATTGATGTTAAAGCACAAAGCTTATTTGATCTAAGGCTACGAAAATTGATATCATATCCTGACGGTAATAATGATGAGGATTAATTTTTGAAATTTAAAAAAAGCACATTCATTTTAAGTTAATATATTAAAAACAGTAATGCTAGTGTCATCATTGACTTTGAAATACTGGAGTGTACTGTAAAGTACAGGTTAACATTGAAAATCTAGTTGAGCAACGAATATTTGTTATAGTTTTTACATTTGAAGCTGCAAATATCTAATGCATTGACAAGGAGTAGAGAAGCTGAAGAAAGACATTATCCAAGCCACGCAATAACCCATTACCCATACAGCCCATTAAAAATCATTTTCATTTGGTCTCAAAAGGGAGAAATTTTTTTTTTTTTCTTTTATTCTCTAGGCAAAGGAGGAGAGATATTTCTTGGTGCCAGCGCAGATGGATGTGTGAAAGGAGAGACAATGAGCAGAAACACCAAGGATGAAATAAGGTTAGGGGTGGACCAAATATGTGATAAAATCACCCCTTGTGTCTTGGAGTGTGATGTTAACTTCACGCCAGTCAGGGATGAGTCAGGGCTTATTGATGGAGTGTTTGTAGCAAGTAAGTGCACACATTTTTTTTATAAGGTTGTTTTAATTTACACTTAATTTTGATCTAGTTTAAACTTTCAGTAGGAATTCTTTTTAATTGTAAACTGAAGTGTTATAAGTATCAAAATATTGATATGAATCAGCAGTGTTAAGTCATTTTAAACATTTCATTTGATACTAACCTTAACAGGAATTCAGGTGGCCTCATGCCCAATGAAAAAAATTATATTTGAATGTAACAGTGCATTCAAACGGGAAGCCTCTCACCAGGGGGAATGCTTTTATCGCCTAGGAGGGAAAAATGTGCCTATCAATGAGCAGGTAAATGTTGTGATATTAATGTTTAGTTTTAATTGAAAGAATTACTTTATTTCCTTAGCATATAGGTTGTGGAGCTACATTCTGTAGAAGTTATTTTCTAATTTAAAACCAGAAGTATTAAAAGTAAAAGAAAAATATTATGTTTTTTTTTAATACATAACATCAGTTTTTTTCTATAGTTATAATACACTTATTTTTCAAAATATAATTTTAAATAGAAATCATATAAAATATTTCAATGTGTTTTCAAAATCTGCTGAAGTATTAGATACAAGTGATAATTAATTACTAGGCCTGTAATACTGTCATTACTATCTAGCTACTATCACATTACCTTTGATACTTTATTTGCCTCTCAGCATGTTTATACTTTAAAGATCAAAGAAATTGAACAAGAATTTAAAAGAGAAGCCCAAGGAGTTATTGAAAAGCTTCAAAGTTTATTGTAAAAGGTACTTAGTAGCAGTAACAAGAGCATTTGTTGTAAGTAACTTAAAATTATGAACTATTGAAAACACTCCAGTTTTTATCCAATAGCCCTAGATATGATATCTTTGTTTTATCTACATAATTATTCCATGGCCTAAGATAGTTTATATGCTGATTTATCATTTTAAGTATTTTGTGCTATGTAATATTTTAAATATCTTGTAACCAATAATGATATTGCCTTAATATTATACTTTGGCATTTTTACAAACACCATAACCAAATAATCTTCTTGTCATAATCTTATCAAAGTTTATTGAATATTTGTGTCATATCATTTTAGAATAGCTTTTGGATTTCAAAACCTTCATATTTTTTAAAATCCTTCTTTTATTGTTCTTTCTTGTTTTTTTTTATATTTTTTTTTTTTTATGGTTAAGATATATTTTGTGACAGCATTTTTGTTATATTACAGACAGTATTAGAATTTATTAAACTTGCTGACCTAGACAAACTGTAAGCATTTTTTGTTATATATATGTGAAATTTCTGTGAAATGTGTTAGTTACATCTTAACTATCAAAACAAATGGTTTGTTGTTAGTTTCGTCATGCTTTGTAGGAATGTTCCTTAATGTTGATACATGTTTTGGGAGCTAAAATATACCAAATATCAGGTTTAAACCATATATTTTCTGAGGGATGGAGTTAAAATCGTTTTTAAAACAGATATCTTTTTATTGGTTTCAGATGTTCATCACTGTATGTGTGTGTGTGTTATTAGTTTTTTTTACATTAAAATAACATAAATTAGGGTTGGTGTGATTTTGCCCAACTCTTGACTTTTGAATCTCTAAATCAGAAACTAATCTTTTTTTTTTACTATTTAAGATGTCTTTATCATTTTGGCATTGCATTTCTGAGATTTGTTTCATGTTGACAGCATCAAAGTGCCTTTGATATTTGCTAATTTCAGTATTGAATTGATATTTTAAATAATATTTGTGCCTTGTAAATATTGAACACTGTTGGTATTTTTCAAAAGTTTAATTACTTTAATTACCTTAAACTGGTTGTGATTTTTTAAAATGTGTTTTCAGTGCATATATTTAGTACATGCCAAAATCTGCTTCACTTTTATGCAGTACAAGTTTTATTTATATTTTAAAAATGTTGCCATCAGAGGAAACTTTCATTTCTTCCTCTTTATAATTAATATGTAAAAGTAACAAGATATACAATTAATGTTTGATTTGAAAAAGGTTAGTTGTATTCTGCCAAGTCTTCTTAATAACTCTTTGTGCCATTGAAAATCTGATTTCAACATCAGCTTTATTGTGATCAAAATAAAGGCACTGGCTACTTATAGTTTTACAAAACAGTAGCGTCTGTTTTAAATTACCTACATTTTGTTTTAGAAGAAGGTAAAATGTCTTCTTCAATAGCTGTATGGTATTTAAATCTCAGATGGTGGTTAGTAATCTTAAATTCTTATGAACAGCATCTGCATGTTTTATTTTTGTGTGAGTGTCTGTAATTGGAAGCATTTAGTTTCCTTGTTTCATAATGCACATTTTTTTTTTATGGCATTTGATCTGTTAAAGTGTTACAACTTTTTTCATTAAAATATATTTAAAAATGTATTACAAGGCTTATAAAATAAATGTAACTTGTATTGAAAAAGATATTTGTTCTTTTGTTTCTGTGAATAATAAACAAGCACACACAATCTTTACACCTCTCTCCCTTTATTTAGCCAGTCATTTTTTAGGTAAGTTATATATCATCAATATAATAAAGTATCACTGTGGACTGTTAAAAACATTTGCTATGTTAACATAACCATAAGCATTTTCTAGCATATATACAATATCAGCAGAAGGGGAAGGTTCCTGAATGTTGAATCCATGAAGATATTCTGCTTTTGTAAAATATTAAACTGTCCTTTATTACTGACACTTTAAAGGCCAATTTATCCAACTAGAACAATGTCTTACTAGAACATAGCTCTAGATTTTAAATAGCACTTAGTACAAAAATTAGCAAACATTCCAAAATGTAAGTTGAAGATGGATAACTATACATGCTCTAAAGTTCTGGATCATTAAACAGAAAGTGTATATCAGGGGAGGTTCATATCTCAGCCCTTTATGGTGAAAGGATGACAGTTTTAGTAATTTATCTAAGTGTTTTGGTTTAACAAGCCTGAAATTTACTAATCCTCATTCTAGTCATGCATTTATTGTTAACTTTTGTTATACTAAGAGACAGATGATTTAAAAGTTCATACAATAATTTACAAGAAAAATAAGATCTTATCAAAATATGATTAATCCTGAGACACAACATCCTGTTTTGATTATTACAATGGTTTACTCTATTCTAGATGGTTGAATAAAATAAGTAAAATAATAGGTAATTTGAGCAAGAAATAGCTCTAAAGTATTACATGGATATTAAACTTTGACCCTGTAAAAAAGTTACAAATGAAGATAGCACAAGCCAACTATTTAACTATCCCTGTTGTGGGGTTGCATTAAAAACTCATATTCCTACTCCATGCTTTTTGTTTCCTGTTCACAGAAAAGGTTTTAGTGAATACATTTTTCTTGAGAATTAGAAATAGGTGAGTGCATTATGTAGTTGAGGACAAAAATCAGAAACAATACATTATTCAAAGCTTGAACACAAACAAACTTTAATAATTAAGCATCTTGAAAACCCATGTCTCAAATCTGGACTAAGTTCTGCAGGAAAATTTTGAAGCCATAATTTGCTGGTGAGTTTTCACTTTCAAAAAAAAAAATGGTGGAAGGTCATCCTTCACTGGAATGTTAGCTCAAAAAAAAAATAAAAAATTATGGCACCCTATTCAGTTTTCACCTTCACCTGTTGAACCGTTAGGCACCACACATAATCTGTTCAAAACTTTTTTCCATTCCTGTCTTTTGCTTTGTCTTTCAAAAGACAGCCTTGTACAATATTAAATGTATAAACCATCTAATAGATAGATATATCTATAAACAAGAAAATTGTCATAGGAGACTGCTCATGTACAAAATGTTTAGATCTAGATAGAAAGTGAAATCAAATCAGGATTTCAAAATATCATACAGCAAGTTAAATATTATGTATGCAAATATGCTTTTATTTTTTTTAATGGTGAAAATAAATAAAAAATGAAGCCTATAATATTTTTTTTTTATATCTTGTCATAAACTTTACAGGTTAATTTTTTTTTCCAAATCTATTTTAAGTACAAGTCAGGATTTACATAAAATAAAGTATATACAATTCCCTAAAAATGTCAAATTCTTTTGACTTAAATAAGGCAGTGAAATGACTATATATAATATTAATATTCCAATAAATAAAGCCAATGTTTATAAACATTTTTTTTCTAAAATCACATGCACAGAGGGCCCAGCATATATAGAATGAACAAGATGATAAGTGAATAACATTGATACCAATTGTGAAATAATGTTTTATATTGAACAAGACTCAATGTGTAAGAAAATCCCATGTGTCTATCCATGTCAAAGATTTAATTTTCTGTGGTGACAAAGACTGATTGCCATAAGTAAACACTGAGAATGTGATAAAGATGTGGATAGCAACAGCCACCAAAGCCACAGAGCCATACTTTATAAGGGGAGACAACAAGGGGATTCTGCAAAAAAGAAAAAAAAAATTTGTAAAGAAAAAAAATGTTTGTTTTTTTTTATTCATTCTACGAAGATTATAATCCAAACTAAACAATAGCCCTACTGCTACATATTTCACAGCCAAAGGCTGTAATAAAAAAAGTTTCTTTATTAGAATATATTCAAAGTGAATAAATGCATCTATCACTTTTATGCATATATATCAGAAACAATGTTTGCATGATCTGCACAATATAATATCCTAATTATTTCCATTTGCAGCTTTTCATGTGACTAAAGAGGCCAATACTTGATACAAAGTTACATTTGTCAGTAATTGCCAAGTTTTACTGAAGTGAAATATGAGAAAGAGGATTATTGATCAGAAACTATTTAGTAAAAAAGAATGTTCATTTTTTTTCCATTTTAATGCAAAGGAGAAAAAAAAAGGGGGGGGGGGGGTGGATTCTTAGCACAATTAATAAGCATTTTTTTCTTCCTTAACAATTGCATGTACCCATAAAAATCTATCTATGAACAAACTGATTTCCTAATACAGATCTATACCTATCTAGTATGTGTCACTTCATGTGGTCTAGAGCCAATCAAATGCTTCCTAGATACTTACTTTGGGCTGACTGAATACAGGTGATCTCCTAGAGCAGCTAACACTAGAACTTTAAAGATCACTGAGGGGAGATAATGATGCAGAAATAGAGTTCTGTCCTCCAAAAAGTAGGGGAGATAATGCAGCAAGTAACCGCCAACAAATAACTCACCAAGAAATAGAAAATTCTGCCATTTGGCTGCAACAAGAGAGAAAAAAAAAACTACATGTATAACAAGTATTAAAATAAAACAAACAAATGTGTTTCAATAGTAATCTCTCTAATAAAACTAAATTATTTAAATGAAAGTTCTTTACAATTTACAATCAACTATGCATTTCCACTTGGAACCTATGATTATGAAAGTACACATCTTTCCTTTGTCTACTGATTGGCTTCAAATATTGTGAATGTAATTGAGCTTAGAAGATAAAATTTATTTACTCATGGTTATAAGAAAATGTTACCTTCTGATAAATCAAACACTGCTCTCTGTCTGCGTACTAAATAGAAGATGAAGAGTGCCAGGTAGGCCAGCACAGATAATGTTGATGCATGCCACACAACAATGTTGCCAATCAGATGAATCTGAGACTTAAAAAGAACAAGCGATTGCTTTCAGAATTACTGAAGTAAAAAAAAACAAGCTTTTTGAACATCAAGAACTTTGTAAAACAAAATATGTTAAAAATGTGTAAGTTGCAATAGCATATGGAATGGTAGTCACAAAAGTTGATAATAAAGACAAAACAAACAAAAAAACTACCCAGAAATTATAAGCAAGAATATATATTTTTTTACATTAGACATGTTTGAAGGGCACTTTGCAATTGAGATCTTGAAAATGGCAGATGAGACTTTATTTCAAAATAACTTTCCAAGACATTTTTTACATTTTGCTTGCTATTGTATTTTTGTTTTAGCATTTGAAAGATAATCGCAAAGCTTTAAGAAAAAGCTTATTATTCAGTCAAATAAAATAATATTTGTAGATATATCTTAACCATTATTGATCTTAACTGTCTATGTATTGATGGCAGGACATACTCAGAAATGTATAGAACCCTCTTAAGCAAACTCTAAAACATAGACAAACATTATTTTTTATCAAAGCAGCATATCCACATGGATTGTCTTAGCTATGCTGGACAACTACCAAGACAAAAAATGGTACCTACATGTATCTGAATAAGCAAACAAGAATGTGTACAGAACAATGTGATTTTTCTTTATGTATAGTTAGAAAAAAGAAATCATTAATGTTGAACTAAAAGAGCCTTTTATAAGTTTATACATTTACGGTGTCATTTTGGGGTCCCCCACAAATGAAAATGACTGAGAAATATCATATCATTCTATAAAATGATTTACATTGTCATGAGAGCTCATCCAGTAAGCAATGTTTCTCTGCATGAATGGCCACTCTGTGGGTGTGGAACTGTACTTATGTTCCAGTTGAGCATCTTGGTTACTCAACAGCATTTTGATCTGTGGAAACAAATGTAAACATCTAGCATAAACATCAAAACAGCTTACATTGAGTAGTTTCAAACTAAGCAATTTTTTATTCTTATGTCATTAGGTCTAGAATAATTAACAAAGACCATAACAAAACATGAATTGCAAGTAAAAATTTCATTGTAAATAAAAAATATTGAAAAAAAAAAGTTTTTAGGTCAAGTGGATAACAAATTTTATTTGAAATGTTAAATCTTTTCATCTTAACCTGAATTAGTTCTAACTAAAAAAAAATGTAATGTTTAAGTCTTAAACAATATTTTATAATTAAAATAAATTCCATTTTTATAGCACCATTAACAAAACAAAAGGTGCTTTTAAAACATTCAACAAAGTTCAAATAACTTTAAACGATACTAAATAGAGCTTTAACTATCAGGATTGGAGTTTTAAATGTACCTGTAGTTCATACAGCTTTGCCCAAAAAGACAAATATGTTGGCTTCAGAGGAATCAGTTCAGCTTGTTGAAGCTCTGCTGCTTGCTTCTCTTTCTCAGAGCCTGTGAATTGAGATGTATTTGTTGAGTCAGTTTTTAAGTTGACATTGACACGAGATCAAACACAAAAGTGCTTGTTCATTTTTAAATAATGTGAAAAAAAAATATACCAACTTCTTGTGTAGCGATGCTCCTCCACATTCCAAATAGTAGATTTCTGATTTGTCATTCTGTCAGCTGCAACTTCAAGCTGATGAAAGCCCCACTCAGGAAGCTGCTTACCTGTTGTCTGAACCAAAGAAAATAGGAAACAGAAGACATTTTTTTTTTTTTTTTTTTGTAAACGGTAACCTAGAAGAGTCAAGGTAGACCTATGAATAAAAGAACAGATAAGTACCAGTCTGATCATAAATTAAATATATAAATCACTATTTAAGGAGAACATTAGCAATACGAAAGGCAAAGCAATTACAGTACCCTAGCTTCCATTTAAAAAATAAAAGTCCTTACCTTGACTGCTGTGGATGTGTTGACATGTATGAGCCGAATCTGACTTTTAATAGTCTGCCATGTTTCATCATCAGACTCTCTATTGACTATGTCCTAAGAACATTAAGAAATAGCATTCATGTGTCTTCTCATTGCAAGATCTTATAATCCCCCACCTCCAAGGCTCTTTATGATTTAATAAAAACTAAAGAATAAACTAACCACTCTCCACAAGTTCTGAGCTGGCATGGATACATTGTAGTTGACATAGCATGAGACTTCTTGGTTGTTTGGACTCAATGGTGCTGCAACATCATGACTAAAAAAAAGGACAAACACATTTTATTTAAGATGCAGAGAATAAACTTTGAACTAGTTAAATAATTGTTAACATTCATAAACATTAATTTTGTTACATGAAACACATTGTATAAAACTAAAGGTAATTATCTTTTTCTATATTACAGAAATGTCTAACATACGTGTTGAGTGCCCGGCTAGTGATGCCATGTACAAGCTGGACAATGTCTCCGTGTCTAACTGGCACAGGTGGATCATCAACCATCAAGTCTTGTCTGTAATAAGAGATGAACACAAAGTTATCAATTAAAAAAATCATTATTAACAAATGATTAAGCTAGTTAACTCTTTCTCTCCTAATTGACAATACCATCATTGATTTGACCTCATTATTTCAGTCGAATTAAGGATATTTTCATCTATACTTAAAAAGTCAAATATTTCGTTAACTTTCCACTAAAAATGTTTTGAATTGCTTAAAATCGAATCTTGAATAGTTTCCCTTTTTAAAATTTACAGATTTTTTTCATTTTGCCAGATAAAAGTGTTTAAAGAGTGGGGGCTAAAAAAGGCTAAATTTTCTTTAGATTTATTTTTTGAATGATTGTGACATAAGATTATGAGCTCTATATATGTTCTAGACAAGAGAAGGGGCAAAAGCGAGCAACTGGCGCCTAAACCAGAAAGCTTCGGGCAGGAGGGGCTCGTTAGCCTTGGTTGGCTACCCATCTAGGAGAAGAAAAACTCTGAATCCAAACCTCCACTGCCCTGCGGCTATACCCAAACACCAGAAAGGCTTCGGGAGACAACCCGGAGGAAAAATCAGGAGCTGGTGACCCTTAGGCA